ATGGGTGGTTTGTTCCCAAAGAACTCACCATTGAAATTGGCTTTAAACATTGTCATTATATATTTAAACCTCCACAACCGTTTGCTACATTAAGTAATCAAGATAAGAAGACTGCTGTGTACTTGGAGAAAAACGTGCATGGTCTTCGGTATTCTAATGGGGATGTTAAATATTCAAAAATAAATAAAATACTGGAATCTAAGTTGTTGTATGCAGCTGACTACATCTACGTTCGCGGAGAACAACAAGCAAAATTTTTAAGACACAAATGTTATATACTTGACGTCTTTCCCATAATTATTGATGTTTGCTCCATACTCCACTGGAGGCTTTGCTCCACATGAATACCCCTGCCACGCTACAGGACTATTTTCCTGCTCCTCGATAAATGTGGATCACCTCCGCCAATGGTTGTGTAACAAAATATTACCTATATAAATTGGATTTTTTTAAATAAAAGATTAAAAGTTTTATTTTAGTTTTATTATAAAACACTATTTTCCTTTTTTTTACATATTTATTTTAATGCAAGATGATTCACATTTGCGATTTACAAGAAATTTTATAATGATATTAATAGTTAGAAATACATTTATTACTAATATGATAGTATAATCGATAAACCATATTGACCGATGTCATCATTATTAGTTTTGTACCATTTTGAATCACTTTCAGTGTTATTTGGAGATATTAGCTTGATCTTGTAGAATGCTCCTCCTGATTTCGTTATCGCTTTGAAAAATACTGGAAGCTGTCCATAATTCGCCACTTCATGATCCATTAGAGTCCATTTAGTTCGATTACAATCAGTTTTTACATAATTAAAACATATCGCCTGGTTCTTAACGTTGTTTGGAACGTTTGTATAAAGGACATTGTTAACAATAGCTGTGAGGATGATGAATGAGGTTGTTAGTGTGGGCATTTTGTCGGTTGAATTCTTTTTAACGGGTATTGTGTTTTTGGCGGTTTTCTATCTGACAAATCGAAAGCTGCAAATTGTTTTTCTATTGCAGTTCTATCTTCGTACCACTGTATATCCGCCTTCAACTTTTGAATTTTTCGCAAAACCCTTCTAATCTGCACTGTACGGTGGACATTGATGAAATAAATGTCTTTCACTCCATAAGCCAATATAAATAATATTCTTAAGCACCCCCACTACCATGGTATAATAAAAAAAGAAATAAATGTTTTAATCCTTTATTCAATCCTTTATTAAATCATTTATAATTTATTAAATCACTAATTGTATCTTCATTATAATAATACAAATATTCCCTTAATGCTAAACTTAAAATACTAGTATCACAAGAAGCCTCACAAAATGAATATAAAATGTCTATTGGTTGTAAATCGTTTTTGAATGAAGTGGCAATTTTCAAAGCATTACAATAGTAATCTAAAAATCTCAGTCCTTCGAGAAAACGAATGCGTGGTAAAATTAACTTCTCGTTTCCTTCAATAAGATTCTTAACATCTTTTTCAAATATCTGCAAAGTAACACCAAGTTTCTTAACATTAAGCCATTTAAGTTGATCTGTAGCTTGAGTTTCAACAGCTAAAAGATCACAACATTCTGGAGGTTCATCTTCGCAATAGCATTGTAGAGGCATCAGGAAAAACTGATTATATTTACGATTAAGTTCATCGATGAATCGGACCCAATCCCATATACTGAACGATATTTCATTATTCTCGCTGCTTAATTTAACACCCAACTCAAATGATCGAGCTGAACTTATGCCAACTAATACTTTTAAATTCTCAAAATTATACAAAGTATTAAGCAACATCATTTCACTTTTATCTTTTACTTCCACACTGTTCATGTTGTAATGTAACTGCCTCTCCCACGCTAAAACTATTTATTTATGCATCACATGCCTGGCTTAATTATAAAATAGAAAAGAATCTACACGTGTTTCCGGTTATATATCGCGTGAGAAATGTTTTAAAGGAATGCAATAACATCTGGTGAGTCATTTGCTGAATATATTAATCACATTTTGTTTCCGGCGTCCGTGCGAATATATTTTAAGTAACATTCCAACGGAAATAGAACATCCGCTTATGTCATAATGTGTTTGTTGTTGAAAATTCCGTTGAATTAATTTAAAACATTATTAATGGTTTTTGCAATTATGCTACTCGATAAAATATATACGAGGTAAAATATAAATTGAAAAAATTTAGAAGTTCTTACGTTATTTAAAAAACAAATGCCAGGTGTGGGATTCGAACCCACGCACCCTTTCGGGTATCGGACGTAGATCCAACGCCTTAAACCACTCGGCCAACCTGACTTATAGTATTCAATGTACGACGTGACATATTATGTAACATGAAATATAACTGAGTAATTGATAGATGAAAAAGAAGAATTACAAAATAAATTGAATTAAAAATGGCAACTGTCTAGCGATAAAACGTCGTTCTCATTGGTGAACGTTGATGTGTAGCTTCGTTATTATTGGGGGAATGGGGGGGGGCGTTTGGGTGTCTTTTCATTACATCGTTCTCATTGGTGTACGTTGACGTGTAGCTTCGTTATTATTGGGGGAATGGGGAGGGCGTTTGGGTGTCTTTTCATTACATCGTTCTCATTGGTGTACGTTGAGACGTATCTTCGTTATTATTGGGGAATGGGGGGCGTTTGGGCGTCTTTTCGTTAATATTGGGGGAATGGGGAGTGTCTCTTCGTTAATATTGTGGTACGACTCCATCATTAGTCGATGCCGTCTTTCTCATTGGACGTTGATACACACGTTCCCATTGGGGGGACGTTAATATGTCACCATTATCCGGCAAGACACGAGGACGATTGACCGCCATTGATCGTAGATACGTTCCGACGTCACGAGGATGTCCACCATTGGTCGAGGATGCGTTCTAACGTTACGAGGGGGGCGTTACTATGTCACCATTGGTCGAGTATACGTTCTAACGCCATTTCTATGATGCCATTGGCTTATTCTATGCTACCATTGGTCGCTGGGGGCGTTGCTATTCCCTCCACTGACGCTGCTATGCAGCCATTGGTCCCTCATCGCTATACCGCCATTTCTATTATTTTTATTCAAATTCTAAGCTGTCATTGGTCGCTGGGGGTGTTGCTATTCCCACCACTGACGCCGCTATGTTGCCATTGGTCGATGACACGTTCCGACATCACGAGGACGTCCACCATTGGTCAGCAAGACATGGGGGACGTTCCCATGCCATCATTGGCCGAGGGGCGTGGCCTTGAGCCACGAGGTACGTTCCTACGTCACCATTGGTCGATGGGCGTGGTCTTGAGACACGAGGTACGTTCCTGCGTCGCGAGGGGGGCGTGGCTTTGATACATGAGGATACGTACGCTTGACGATCGACGTGTGACGTCACTTCCTGGTCCAGAAGGAACCCTATCTATCTACTCATTTGACTGTATTTTAAATACTGCTTTCTGATTGGTTCCGGGAATACAACGGGAACGAGAAAGTTAAAATATTTGCAACTTTTCTGTTCTCGTTACCGGGCGGCTTCTCGTTCTCGGTTATTGTGCATCCAAACATTGATTTACGTAGAGGTTAACTTTTTCCCGTTCCCGTTTCAGTTCTCGTTTCAGTTTCCGGGCAATTGTGCAGCCGCCTCTCCATTCCTCTCCATGTTATTACTTTTCCCACGTTTACACCGCTTAACAAAAACGAACTAATATTCTCGATATAATTATACCGTTTTTTTGAGGTTATTGATTTACATTAAATTTAAACATTTTATTGGCTTTTGCGTGTACAAATATGTCAAAAGTAAACTTTAAATAAAATTAAGAGATAAATTCTTTTTATAAATTTGATGGAATGCGATTCATTTGAATAGAATAGAATATCTTTATTCACAACAGTACAAAATACGTTTATTGACGTTTCAATTTCCACTTCGGAAATCGTTCTCAAAATACAAACACTACAAAAAATACAAATACAAATTAATATACGTACGCGTCAACTCTACAAACAATTTTTAACACTGCAAACAAAATTCACCAGCGAAAGTGAAACACAAATTAATAATGACCATAGATAAATAATATAATGACGATGTAAACAGTTTCTGAGAAGATCTAGTTTTAACCGACTGTCGATGCTTGCATTCAGAGATCATGCGACCTTGGATTCCATGTTTTAAGCGGCCAGGGTATAGTGTACATATTCTTAATCAGAGGGTTCAACCTAGGACACCTCCTTGTGTTTGCTACGTGGTCAAGTACATTACAATTGAGACATATTGTTTATTTTTTGCATTCAACAGCCCAATAACCTTCGTTGCCACTTCGAAAGCAGCATCCTCTTCTGTTTTGTTCCTTGCAGTTCCATTGTCTATGTCCGAAGGCAAGGCATCTCCTGCATCTGGGTATCTCTGCCCTTATTTCCACGACCCGTCAAGACGTAAAGTTCACTCGTATCATTTTCATAATAAGACTTTTTTAACCTCGTCCGTCTGTCTAGACTTTGACTATGTCACAGGCCTGCTATTTGCCTGCAGCTTCCTCTACTGCTTTCTTGATCACTTTTGCCATAGTGTCGGGTGGGATTTTCTGCACGAACTAAGATTCTCTTTTTGACATTGCCCCATTTTGCCATCACTCTGGATACGCATTTTTTCCCCGAAAGTATTTCCTTTACTTTCTCAGCCATTCCTCTTCCTCCTAGTTCCAGCGACATCCCTTGGTCTCTGGTCTGTCTTATTTTGTTAATGTCCACATCTTACATGGCACTTTGGACATTTCCCCCTTCCACTTTTCATTTGATTTGTTTCTTTATTTATTTATTATAATGATCTAGATTATGCATTTTAGCTTCTTTTTTTTAAGTTTTTAATAAGATCGTTTTCACGATAGCGGATTTTAATTATTCATTTGAGTTATTTGATGTAAAAAAACGTAATTAAATTTTCATCAGACATACATACATAGTTGTTGTCTTCATGGCTTTGTAATGTTTTTTTTATTCTAGGTAAGAAAAGGATCCTACTTTTAACATACCAATTGGAAAACAGATGAACGTTCATTTATAATAATATAAAAGATTTTGATTTATAATATATATATATATATATATATATATATATATATATATATATATATATAAGGAAGGCCAATTTTTTGAAGAAGAAGGACAAAACCTGGCATGCTGCGAAAGAAATGGCAAAAAAGAGGAACGACTGGAAAAATTTATAAATAGTACATACACGTAATTTATACCCCTACCTAATGGGGATTTCAGTACATAAATATCTATAATACGTATTTCATAACTATATTTGATTATTTTGCAATCAAAATTGTGCATGTAAAATATTTATGCATTAATACACCTTGTTTATATATATATATATATATATATATATATATATATATATATATATATATATATATATATATATATATATATATATATATATATATACCGGGTGGTGAATCGTCAAACGGTCCATAGGAAACTCAATGAGAAATTTTAAATTGTTGAATTGCTGCTTCCCTAATTATTTTAGAAAAGTTATAAAAAACTATTTGTAGAGGACTAAAATCTGAATTAAAATCAAATGTTAAAACCGTTCTACGAATCAAATGTACTTCAAAATTTTGCAAAATATAATACATTTTTCAGACCACCCCTAAAAGTTAGGCCACACGTAATGCAAGAATATATATTAGGACGTTTGTGTTTTATCATATTAATGTCAGATGTTTGACAATTTGACTTGTCAATTTTTTTAGTTTATGATTAAAATTATAAACAATGAATTTTACTATTATAAATACTACTACTAATGAACATTATTACTTTGTGAACAATAAATTATATGGTTTACAAATCGATCAATATAATGAAATGTACTCAGTTGACGAAAAATCGCATAATGTTGTATTCAGGCAATAGCGCGAACTTTTTCCTGCCACTACCGGATCTTTATTTAACGTAAGATATTCTAATTCACTAAAATTTAATTCCATGTTAAGTTATACAACAATTCAATGAATTCCAATAAACTGTTAGTGTGATCTTTATTCCTAATAATATATGATAATTTCTAAACATAAAACTATAACAAATGTTATAATAAAATATGAATAAAACATTTTTATTATTGCTTTTTTCTCCTCAACTGAGTACATTTTTTAATCAACTTAATTTTTTTTAACAATAAATCACAAAATTTTCGCCATTTAAATAATAGATAAATGTAATATAATTGATTTAAATATTATCAAATATCAGAAACAATAATATGACAAAACGCAACACGTAATACATATTTTTTCACAGAAAAATGTATTATATTTTACCAAAATTTTGGAATACGTTTAAGTCGTAGAATAATTTTAACAGTTGTTTTCGATACATATTTGAGTCCTCTACAAATAGTTTCCCATGACTTTTGGTGTAAAATAATTAGGGAAGCAGGAATTCAACAATTTAGAATTTCCCATTGAGTTTCCTATGGCCCGTTTGACGATTCACCACCCTGTATATATATATATATATATATATATATATATATATATATATATATATATATATATATATATATATATATATCACTACCAGCGCAAAATTAACCAAAGTTTTTGTAGATCAAGTAAGTGCTATTATACATTTTTACAGAAGCAACTTGTTAAGGCTTGTTAAGTTTTGGTTTCTGAAGTAGATGCCAACTCCATCGTTTTATATTGATTCTGGTTTTCGGGTTTCTTGGCAAATTTTTATTTCTATTAAAGTAAAATTATTGGTAAGGAAAACATATAGTTTTATTATAAATACATCTTAATCAATAGAAACGTTTTTATCGAAATTAAATTTTCTATATATCTTCAGCTATACCAGTTTAGTGCAAAATTGCTGACGAAAAACTCTCACAATAATTATTTAGAATACACAGAATGGGAACTATTGGAAGAAGTAAAAAAATGAAGAAAATAAGATAACAAAATGGATTACCTGCAGAATTGTTCGAGTTAAAAAGTACCATCTGCCTAATCCATAAATAGGGCAACAAACTCCTCTATCAAAACTATAGAAGAATCTCGTTGCTGTGTTGTAGTAAGCTATTTACCAATAAACTTAACCATAGACTACAACCCCTCGCAAAGATCATCGGAGAATAAGATGCAGAATTTAGGCAAGGAAGAACAACCATCAACCAACTGTTCCATCATTTTTACATAATATTAAGTGATTATAGTTTATTCGTCTTCCGGGTTTGGACCGTGTCATTTGTGAGTGACCCAAAAGTGGGTTCATCTCGACGTTTCGCTACAATTGTATGTAGCTTCTTCAGGAGAACAACGAAAAAGAAAAAAGAAAACAAAAGAACAGGAAGATGGGTAGTTAGCAACGGTAACTCAGTTACTCAACGCAACCAGAGGCGAATACTAACTACCAAGATGGGCATTTGGTTACAGTAACTCAACTACTCAACGCAGCCAGAGGTGAAAACCAAATGCCAGGACAGGGATTCACGCCCAACAGCTCAGAACACTAACGCGTCGAGAGGCGGGGAGTGAATCCGAATCACTTCACAGGGATTCACTCCCCGCCTCTCGACGCGTTAGTGTTCTGAGCTGTTGGACGTGAATCCCTGTCCTGGCATTTGGTTTTCACCTCTGGCTGCGTTGAGTAGTTGAGTTACTGTGACCAAATGCCCATCTTGGTAGTTAGTATTCGCCTCTGGTTGCGTTGAGTAACTGAGTTACCGTTGCTAACTACCCATCTTCCTGTTCTTTTGTTTTCTTTTTTCTTTTTCGTTGTTCTCCTGAAGAAGCTACATACAATTGTAGCGAAACGTCGAGATGAACCCACTTTTGGGTCACTCACAAATGACACGGTCCAAACCCGGAAGACGAATAAACTATAATTCTGACTCTGGCCGTGGAAGCCTACGATTTCATTTAATATTAAGTGAATTTGAAAAACCGTATAAACTAGTTAGGCTCGTCCGAATTAGGATGATGGACACATTGGCTCTGGTACAGATACAACGTGCGATGACAGATCCGTTTTAAATCACACAAGGATTAAAACAGGGTGATGGCTGGCACCAACACTGTTTAATTTAGCACTGGAATACGTAGTTAGAAAAACCTTAGCAGATAGAATCCACACACTTATTAAAAAATCAGTAACTGGCAAAATAAATATGCAGATGTCATAAATATCATGAACCGAACCAAAGCAATAGGAGAGAATATGTATAGGGAACTTAAATCACACGCTACATAAATAGGTCTGCCAATAAACACAAAAATTCTAGTACAAAGCCGATCGGTAAGAGCATTACGACCGTTTACGTATTAAAAAAGTGGATAGCTTTATCTATTTAGGAATTAACGTCACAAAGGGTAACATTGACGATGCAGAGCTTAGCAGAAGAATCATTCTAGCTAATAGGGCATACTTTGCTATATACCAGATATTTAAATCATGAGATGTACATCAAAGATGTACATTATATATGAATATAAAAGACCATATGAGACCGATAGGACCCTATGGATATGAAACATGGATATTGACTCAAAAATCTAAACCACATGAACGTCTTTAAAAGAGAGGTACTGAGACGAATACTATATTCTACAAACGAGAACAACCGGTGGCAAATCAAATACAATTATCAAATATATAATATACGAACCAGTATTATCTCAGTATATCCGCCTACATCATGTAATTACAATCCATGTATTTATTATGAAAGAAAAGTGGCTACCAATAACTGTTGAATGCAAGAATGCAGGGGAAGATACCTATTGGGAGACCGACAAAGCAAGTGGAGGATGATGTGGATGATGACGCAAGAAATCTTCTTGGCAGTTGATGACTGGAGGAGAATGGCTACAGACCATATCAAATGGAGAGGTTTGCTGAGGAAAACCACAACTGAAATTGGGCTGTAGAGCCTTCGGATGGATTGATTTTAAATGAAAATATAATATAATATAATATAATAGTCATTATTTTAAAAAAATTACTTATATAAACAATAAATTTTACTGATTATTTTTTATTAATTACTGATTAATTTTATTATATATTATTTTGATAAAAACTAAATATAGCGATAGTAATATAATATACATAAATATAAGATCAGTACAAGTCTATTTTATAATATATAAACCAATTTATTTTAAAAACTTCTCGATCCTGTTATGTTATATATTATGTTGAGTGCGATATTGATGTACGACGTCGTAGATGTCAACCTTGAAAGGTACTTTAGGTTTGTATCTGGGTATCATAAGGTCAGAAGTTATCATCTATTCGGTATCCCTGATTTTATTTATAATGCAACTATGAACTGATCGAATCATTACAGTACTCAGTTTTTCTCGAAGTCTAATATCACATTTTCGTCTCCCCCTTCTATGGCATTTTTTGCCGAAGAATTTTGCTATTATTTGCACAATTTTCCAAATAGTTGGAAGAGGATACTTGCAACTTTGGAGTTAATTTACGCGACGAGGAGAGTCCGTTATACAACATGTAAACTTTTTCAGTTTTATTAAAATATATAACAAGGATATTAACTGTCAGCAATTTTATGTACTTTTTTTTTTCGATTTTATTCGATTCGATATTCGATTCGTCTCGACTCAACTTGATTCGACTCGAATAAAGTGATGTGACTCAATTCCATTCTATGTGATTGTATAGTAGATTCGATTTTACTCGGCTTGATTTAATTCGATTAGATTCGATATTTGATTTTGATTAGATTTGATGCGATATTCGATTTGGTGTTATTCGACTTGACTTGACTTATTTCCATTCGATTTGATATTTGATTTGATTCTAGATGATTCGATTGTGTTTTATTTTATTTTAGCCCGATCGTTACAATTGCTATCGTCTTTACGCTCAGTTTTATTTTTTTCACAACTCTGTGTGATCCACCGCTCCGTCCGTAGCCCGCGATAAGAAAGCTTAGTCAACTATCATTTAAATTACAATACATTTCTGGTAAAAAGAATGTTATTCGAATTTAGCACTCTTAAGGGTGCTGTTATACAAGCGCTAATGCCGTCAC